GGGGTATCTCTTTGGATCAGGCTATCCTGAAGTGAGCCTAGTGAAAAGAAAGCTGAGCTATATTAATAGAGTTTCATGATAAGATTACTATCTAAAGGCCTCTCCTTTAGGATGTTCCATGCCATGTGACAGTTTCCCCGCACGGTACGATTCCCTTTTGGGGCTATTTAGTTTCCATGGGTCGTATTTGATGCTCGTGATGGATCCCTTGTCTTGGTTCCCCAGATGAGTTCAGACCCAATGGTCCCCGCAAGCAAGCTATGGATTAGTGTCTAATGACCAAATGGTCTCTATCAGACCCAAATGAGTAGACGGGGATAAAGATAGCTGATATGAAAGGCTTAGCCATCCCATACCTGTTCTTGTATCCAACATGGTCTAGCGTTCGGTAATGAGGCAGATGCAATTTCAGAACCCTGTTGATTATGAGTAATTCCACCGTGTTGGGAAAAAAAAGCCCGGATGAAGATATTATCACTAATAACACCTCCTCCTTGTCCAGACTACCAATCTCGGCTGATATCTTTGAAATAATGTTACGGCCATGTAGGCGTCTAGGCGTCGAAATCAGCCCAAAAGCTACAAAGGATACACAGCAGAATAGATACGTTGGTGAACTTAAGTCTTGTTTCTTGTGACATTTATTTCTTGATGAGAATGAATGCTAGATGTCGCATCACAACCCTCTTAGAAAAAAAACAGTTCAATCTATGTTCTAAAATCAGGGAGGGGGGAGCAGATGACACAAAGTTGACAATCTAATTCTTGAAATCCCCGTGTGTCAACTCATTTTCCAAGTCGTAGTAAACTTGAAACTCGCAGTAACATATTTCAGGATCACTCTCGACATCAAAGTTGAAGTTCGCCTCCTCCTCTGTGATCAGCACCTTTTGAACTCCGCTTGCAGCGGCGGCTTCAGCCAGCAGTTGCACCTGGCAACTCCTCTCCATCGAAGTGAAGAGGAACGCAGCTTCATCCACAGTCTGGCCCACGGTGAGTATACCATGGTTCCGCAAGATGCAGCCTTTTCCCTTTGGTCCGAGGGCAGCAGCGATGCGGTCGCCCTCTTCGCTGCCCAGAACAACACCACCGTAGCTGTCGTAAACGCTATGCGCTTCTCCTCTAAACTTGCACGCATCTTGGGTCAACATCTCCAGGCGGCGGCCAAACACGGACCACGCTTTCCCGTGAACACTATGGGAATGGCACACAGCATGGGCGTCAGGTCTGGCTCTGTGGACGGACGCATGGATGAGAAAACCGGCAGTGTTTGGGGGGACCGATCGGTTTCCGCCAATCACAGCTCCATCCAGATCAACAAGGATCATGTCGCTGACCTTGAGCAGCCCAAAATGGCGACCCAGAGGGTTTGTCCAGAATGCGTTGGGGAACTCCGGATCACGGACTGAGATGTGTCCGCTCATGCCCTCGACGTAGCCTTCCCGATACCAGTGGCGGAAAGCAGCAGCCATGTGCTCCAGCTGCCACTGGCGATGGGAGGCAAAGTCGGGATGCTTGGGGATGCCTGCAAGAGTAACATCTCCATGAGACATCGCCTGAAGCGGGGTCTTGCCTTTTAGTTCATTGCCGTGGCTGGTGTGCGAGATCTCCTTTGGCTTGATGCTTGTGTTTGTGATGGGAGCGGTGGCAAGAACCGAAGGGGCCATTGTGAGAGACTTCAGAAAGCAAGAAAATGATTTTTGATGATTCTTTATGCTTGGGAAAATAGTGATTTGCGAATTTGAAGAAGGTTTGTTCGCACGGTTGTGTCAGCTGTGAACGTCCAAGAATTCAAAAGGTGCTTAGAAATATAAAGAGTTACCACTGCCTAAGTTCAGCAAGAGCATCCCCAATATATGACATCAGAAAATAAGTTTCGACATTTCTATTACCCGAAATGATCATTTCGAGTATCCCCTAGCCTCATCCCTCACAGGCTCACGTGTTCATAGAGGGCGCTACGGCTAGGGGGCGATCCATTTAGAAGGGCACCTAGGCTTGTCTCTAGCCCAGGGGCTTTCTGCAAGTTCCTCAACAGGTGCACATATGACTCGGTCCTTCTCTATGTTATGAGAGGGCGCTCCGGTTGGCGAGGCGATCCATTTAGAAGGTAACTCAAGCTTGTCCAGTTCAAGGGGCGTCTGCAAGTTCTCCAACTGCTGTACCGATGACTTCATCCTTATCTATGTTGTAAGAGGGCGCTCTAGACATCTCACGAGCGATCTACTAGCGTGCTGCTAGTTGAGACTGGAGAGCTCGATCGAGGCTTGTGTCTTGGGAGGGCGCTCCAGGGGTGACGGCAAGCTACTGTTTCTGGTAACTTTCCACGATGGCGTGTGATACGGAGACATACGAGTCTATCAGTCCCGTTTTCTGGTTTCGAGTCTTATTCATTGTCTAAAAATCAGCAGCACGAGTATTGGCAAAAATATTCATTAAGTTCATGGCGAAATTGGAGCAAGGATAGCCATTGCTTCAAACCCCCTCCCCGAAGGAAAAAAACGAGGGCACTTGGAATATACACATTGAGCGTGACTGGCGTGTTTACCACCACCTCATATTGGAGTAAGCATCCCAAAAAAAAGCGTGGGATCAAAGATAAAGGGAGATATTTGTGAATATATCATTTAGCTTCCACTAAGTTTTGAATTCTCTTTACAGTCTGTTCCCCATGTTTACATGGACAGCCTTGATCTGCGTATAGGCTTCTAATCCAGCCTCGCCAAGTTCTCTGCCAATGCCACTCTGCTTGATGCCTCCAAAGGGAACTCGTGGATCACAATCTTGACTGCTATTCACCCAAACCATTCCCGCTTCGATCTCCTGAGCAACTCTGTGAGCTCGCTCAAGATCAGTTGTAAATAGGGCAGAACCAAGCCCGTATTTTGTGTTATTGGCTAATGCGATAGCCTCATCTTCGGTCTTGAATTTTGCGATGACCGCAACTGGACCGAATATCTCCTCCTGGAATACACGCATCGAGGATTTGACATCGGTAAACACCGTAGGAGCAACCCAGAACCCTTTGCCTTCGGTGCCGACTGTGACAGCATGTCCACCGGTTGCGATGACCGCACCCTCGCCCTTTCCAATGCTAAGATATTCAAGGACACGCTCATGTTGAACCTTGGACACAAGAGGACCTTGGTAGGTATCTTTGGACCACTGGTCACCGACCTTGCTGACAGACTCGGTAGTTTCCACAAAACTCTTGACGAATTTGTCGTAAACTCCCTCTTGAACCAGGATGCGTGAGGTGGCAGTGCATATTTGGCCTTGGTTTGACATGATGCCAAAATGAGACCACTTGACAGCCTGTTCCAGATCTGCGTCATCAAACACAAGAAGTGGCGATTTACCACCTGTTTCAAGCGTAATATTTTTGAGTGTTTTGGCAGCTGCCCCCATGATATTTACTGCCGTTTGAGTAGAACCTGTAAAGGCAATCTTATCGACCAAAGGATGGTTCACCAGGGCAGACCCGGTTTCTCTTCCAGGTCCGTTCACAATATTGACCACACCAGGCGGGAACCCAGCTTCCTTGATGAGCTCAGCAAGGACAAGGATGCTCAGGGGCGTTTGCTCTGCAGGCTTGAGAACAACAGTGTTCCCACAGGCGAGGGCTGGTCCTAGCTTCCAGATAGCCATACAAAGCGGGTAGTTCCAAGGGATGATTTGAGCAATAACGCCAACTGGTTGCCGAATAGTGTAGGCAAATTTCTGGTGAGTGGTGCTGATGGTCTGACCAAAAGTCTTATCAGCCCACCCAGCATAATAGCGAATAACAGCAACGGCTTCAACGAGGTCACCCTGAATTGCCTCTTTATATGACTTTCCTATTTACCTTCTATCAGTTCTGATGTTGGCATGTGGGATGGGAGTCTTGAAATCATACCGTTGTCCCACGCGTCAATGGTGGCAAAGAGCTCTCGCTTCTTCTCAAGGAGGTCGGCAAGACGCGACATGAGAAGCCCTCGGTCTGACCCTGGGAGCAGCTTCCACGTGTCTTTTGTGAGGGCCGCCTTCGCCGCTTGGACGGCTTTGTCTACATCAGCCTCATTCGCTGCTTGAACGGTAGCAATGACTTTCTCAGTTCTATGCCATGTTAGCATTCAAAGAAAATCTGCCTGAAGGGAAACACTCACGCAGGATCGATTGAAGTAAGCACCAAGCCACCCGAGGATTCAACAAATTCGTTGTTGATGAAAAGACCAGTTGGCTGGCTGTATTTCGTGCCATTCGGGGCTTCCAGGTCAATTGATAGAGGTGCCATGATGGTTTGATTCTGAACTGGGTCAAACAAGGGCTACTGAAGTAGATTTATACAACGATTTGATGATAAACAAGATGAGTATCACATTCAATAGAGAGAATGTGTGAACCTAGAATTGCCCTTTATATACTGAACAAGGATGTGGATTGTAGCATGACTTCTTCAGAATTGAGACAGTTCGTACATTCTGTAACAGAAGAGTTCAATAAAGAGGGTCTACCATGTGGTTGTGTGAGAGCATGATTCGTCGTGGATGCCTTCTGAAATAAGCCTGCTCCGCTTTCGCGATGTTGTAGGCTGAATCTTTGAGTTTCTTGCTCTCCGATAGGGACTTCTGGTCACAAGTCTGCAGAGACAGCATGCCATCGCTTATCCTTTCGCCCTTTCTAACTCTCTTGGGGCTAAGATAGGCCTCGAACTCAACCCCGCTTGGTTTCAAGCCCTTGGTCGCTACAATCATAAGACTGACTCGCACTCACTCATTGAGTGTGGAGTTGGCCGTGGAGACATGCCTAATTCGGAGAACTTATCGGGCGCAACCCCAGACTCGGCGTATGTTTTCCTTTCTTCTTTCGATTCTCTTCTTCCACATTTGGGCGTGATTCCCACTGCAAGATCCTGTCCCATATGCGTTCTCTTACTGTTGTTTCTTAGCAATATCATCTCCATTTGTTCATCGACGCTAACAACACGTCTTCCCCAGACAACTCTCGGGTGAGATCCACAAATGCCCGTGACAAATCGAGTTCGGGCGGAGCATACCCGGACATTCACTGGGTGTCGAACATGTCGAAGACGCCATGCAAAATGTGACGAGGAAAGGCCAGAGTGCGGTGCCTGTAGTCGTCTGGGGTTGAAGTGCGGCGGCTATTCTGCTCAGCTATCATGGGTAACAGATGAGGATGATGCAGATTCGAATGACCAACAAGCTCTCTGCTATCGTTACCCTCTGTTCTCCGGTATGTACAGCCATCTTACCAGCGTGTAGCGCAACTAACCGCGGACCGAGTCTCCAGATCTCGAACGGCGAATAATGAGCGACAGCTTATCGGAAAGCTTGGGGCTCAAATCAGCTGGCGAAGTCTTACTCAAGCTAGACTTGGCTTCCAAGAAGGTTGAGGCGGGCTTTGATCTCTGCCTGGGCCCATTTGGGGTCTTTCAAGCAGTAGACGACAGTACAAAGTCCATCTCAGCAGAGTCACAAGCCAGTGCTTCTTTGCTAAGTGTCAGCCCGGATGCCGAAGGCCCTCAGAGCGAGGAGTCTGATGAGTCCATCACCGAATTCGAAGAGATAAAAAATGCACAATCTCATCCAACAGACCTTGAAGCTCTCCTCAACAACACAACGTTTTCGCTCATTGAAGAACATCATATGACGATTCCAGATGCATTTACAAGTCCGGCTTCCGATCTTTTCAACGATATCGCATTGGATCCGGCATTTCTCTCCATCTCCGATGGCACAAATACTCTAGAAACCACTGATAATGACAGATATATCGCTCAAGAGGATACCAGAGTCTTATGCGACGACTTAGATGCCTCCATGATGATCTCACCCAGCATCGATCCAGCCAACAACCAAGCAAATCTTCCAGAACAGGCTGCCAATCTATTGCGCTACTATCAACAACACGTTTCGTCTTCTACAAGCTCTATCCAGATCAATCGACAATCCCCGTGGCAACTGATCTTTTTACCTTGCGTATTCGAGACGTTTGCAGAGATCACGTTGATGAGCAGCACCTCCCATACCAGAAATACCATCCTCCACGCGGTACTTGCCCACAGCGCTTTTCGATTGCACAAACCGAATAACCCATCCAAGCCGACTGAATACTGGGGACATGTGGGCTTGAGACACAGGAATAAAGCCCAATTTCATTTGAAAAAAGCTGTAGAAACCGAAATGGCGAATCATGAGCAGAAAACGTACAAGGAACTCCTAATGGCCTTCTTAGCCATGGCCATGACATCGGTTAGTACTCATACCGATCTTCATCTGAACTATGTCCACTAACACATTATAGCTATATCGAGGATGTCCAACGGCGAAGGTGTTCCTCGTAGATGCCGAGAGACTCATCAGGGTCCGGGGCCTCAGCAATCATAGCAAACCCTACAAGATTCGCGTCCTACATCACCTGTACACGTACCTTCGCATCATGGTGGAGAGCATCGCCACTCTAACTCCATCTTCATCCGATCCCGAAACAAATGCGCTCCAAGCGCTTCCTAACGCCCGATCGTTTCGGGTCAGCAAGGAAACCCTCAATATCGGGCTTGATCCCACCGTTGAGAAAACTGCCGAGCTAGGCTACGGCGACATTCATCTAGAGGTCCAAGGACTCTGGAAGCAGACATTACACTACAACCTCCAGGGCATACCCGAATCTTTAATGACCCTCATCGCGCAGACGACTTCTCTCGCTAACGAAAAAGCACACCTCGAGACCAGGGCTGGATGTGATTTGAGGCTATCTGCGGACTTGAAACACCACATCAAAACATTAGAAGAATCAATCTGGGCATGGTCTCTCCCTTCTGAGTTGACAACCATCTCAACCCACAAACCCACTGCAGTGCTACCTGATAACCAAGACTTAATACACCAACCTTGTACTCAGTCCATGGTTCAGGCCATACATCGCGCACTAGTCATTTACTTCTATCGTCGGATACACGATGTCAGCGCAATGGTTCTCCAAGATCATGTACGACAAGCATTGGAGAATCTTGAGCTTTGCATTGAGAAGATGGTCGAAGACGACGATTTTGCGCCGAGCCTGGCGTGGGCGGCGTACATCTCTGCATGTGAAGCTACTACTCCAGATCTCCAGAAGAGAGCGCTGAAGTGTGTATCGATCAGTGATAGGCGCGGTGTCTACTTCACCTCGAAGCCGTCAACAGAGGTGGTGTTGTCAATTTGGGGGGAGAGGTGTCATGAAACAACGCTGTCTTATAAATGGACTTCAATGCTTCAGGAAATTCATGTCTAACGAATGTATGGCATCTATTATTCATCAGTCATTATATATCTGTAAATGTAGAGACAGTTCAATTAGCAATCGTATTCTAGATACTGAACAACAATGATCATCCACGCTAGGGAGATTTTCCCTTGGCCTCATTCCAAATGGCAACATCATTTAAATGGGAAACTCCTTGATTAATAAATCGACCCAGGTTTTGTAGTTGTCGTCAATTTATCTCCATCGCGGATAACTTCTCACTACCTAGGCTGGAGTATTCGGTAGGAGACTGAAAAGGTCTTCGTTTCCCACGAGATAGCGCTGAAATTCATTCAGCTTACCAAGGTTCAAAATTGGTTATAGAAATCGCGTCGCTTTTGATTCTGGCTAACTAGATTTCTATGATAGATTCCGATGTCCTCTCCATCTCTATATATAATTTACAACACTCCACTGACCTTGAGAATGCTGAGTAACTCCTCCTTATCTTTACCTTCTACCATGGTATATGGCTTCCTGACACCACCCGTGGCCCATCCTCGAAGCTCCATGCCCGTCTTGACAGCAGCAGGGTACCCATACGACTCTAGCCACTTGCAGACGGGCCAAATACGAGCCCATAGCTCCTGGCCCTTCTGGAGGTCATGCTCCACGGCGATAGCGTTCCACAACTGAACAGAGAGCTCGGGGATAAAGTTTGTGGCTCCCCAAACAGAACCCTTGGCTCCGGCAGCCAGTCCATAGAAGGTCAGAGTGTCGTATCCATTGAACGGAGTGATACGATCACTGTGCGCCAGCAAAAGTTCGGTGAGAGCGGGAGCATCGCCTGATGTGTCCTTCATGTACTTGACTCCGACCTCTGAGAGATCGGCCAGTTCTTTAGGCGACAGGGTGACGCCGCTGATGGATGGGATGTTGTAGTAGAGGATGGGAAGACCAGAAGTGGTGTGGATTTCCTTGAGAAGGGCTCGAAGCTGTGTCAGGTTGGGAGGCTCGTAAAATGGAGGCACAACCATGAGCGCCGAGGCACCGGCCTTGGCGGCGTGAACCGCATGATCAATGGCGCCTTGGGTGGTGAGATCGCCAGTGCCGGCAATGACAGGAACGCGACCAGCCGCTGCCTTGACGACAAGTTCAATGACGAGTTGGCGTTCTTGGGGCGTCAAGGCTGTGAACTCGCCGGTACTGCCGCCAGGGACAATACCGTGGACACCAGCGTCAATCAAGCGGTTGACGTGCTTATCAAGGGCAGCAGCATCAACGCTACCATCGGCAGCAAAGGGGGTGATGAGGGCGACAAGGATACCCTTGATCTCCAGTGTAGGGGCCATTGTTGCGGGAATGAATTAGTTAAGACCGGAACAAGTCTAGTAAATGGATGGATAGATGTTGTGAAGTGGTGGATGATGTTTGATGAGACAGACCTCACTGAGCCGGATCATACTTGCCTTTTATATCTGATTCTGCAATAGACCTTTGATCAGGTTACAGGAACGCCGAACACCCAAGACATTTTTGCAACTCCTCAATGAAGCCTCGATTGCGGAGAAAGATGATTACTGAAAGATACATGTTCGATTGAGCTCATGTTTCTTCCTAAATGGGAAACCTGATGTGGACTACTTAACACTTCAGATGCTTCAGAATAGCCATGGGAGTATCATCTACGAGCAGTGAAGCATTCACCAGTTGGGCAAGTTTCCACGTCGGGACCGGACCTCCCTCAACGGTCGAGATAAGTAAAATCGCCATTAACTTCTTTCAGAATAGCTTCTTTAGTCAGAATGCGGGGTGCGTTGCTTTTACGTAATATTGGTGCCTCGTTGCCTAAGGCATCAAGACAACTTTTGAACCTGAATCCTCCGACTCTGAGCAAGTTGGCAGAAGTTTGGTAGGAAGGTAGGGAAAAAGAAGCATCTCGTAACCATATTCAAGTCATGCTTAATTGACAATTTTTTGAAACATGTCACGGGTTAGTCACTTTCTCAACTACTCAACTATCTATTATGAAGGGATGATTCCTAATTCACGATTTAAATAATGCCGTCTCTTCATTATTTTACTCCAGAGACATAGGGTAGCTCGAGAAGCAGAGCATCAGCAACATCTTCTCCATAACGACACTATAAATAGAATTATGAAATTGGTGGACCTGTCTTAGTCTGCGCTGTAGGTTTTGTGAAGTGTATCGTTCGTAAAATGCATAGCCTGTTCATTAGGCCATTGCACGAGTCAAGGCGCTCACACGCTGGCACGAGATTTGACGAACCATCAAATCGCGGCCTTAACAAACATAGCAGTAATTTAACAACACGGGATCAGATTAGCGAGAAGAAGGGACCGGAGAACTGATGGGACATTGCGATGCTTAAAAGTTCAATTGGCCGATAATTTACGATAAATTTAGTGCTATCTTGTGAACGAGACACAACACCTTTACCCTGCAAGAGGGGCTTTGAGCTTCCTCCCTTCAAAGTCTTGCCAAACTTCCGTCAGACTTTTTGTAAGAAATCCGATCGCGGGTGATATCAGACACGGTCCTACAGCTAAGGGGATAGGGGAAAATGTTAGTGACATAACCCGTCGATCTAAAGGTTTGACTTACCCTGCTAAAGCCATTGCCACTTTGAATTCGTGCATGAGAATCTTGAAGGCCAACTCAATGCCCTCTTGCCCATTATACTGTCACAAGTTAGCTCGAACTTACTGCCATACACCGAACAGTTTCGGGATGAGTACTCACCGCTAAGCCCCAGATAGGGATTCTACCAACAAAGCAGTGAGATGCGCCCAATGCAAGCGCCTTGAAGATGTCGGTACCTCGTCGAATGCCGCCATCTAGAGCAATTGGGATTGCACCAGCCGCCACTGGGGCACACTGTCGCAAGACATCGATGGTGGCGGGAACCCCGTCGAGCTGCCTGCCACCATGATTGGAGATGAGGACGCCATCTACGCCGTATTCAATAGCAGCTTGCATATCGTCGACGCTGTAGATACCCTTGACCCAGATTTGTAGTTTCGTGTGCTTTCGCAACCAAGGAATGGCCGTTGCCCAGTCCAAGGAAGCATCGTAGTCGTGGTTAAGACGTCGAATGATCTCCTCGCCATTTGCACCACGGTTAGCTGACCCATTAAGCTCACTCTTGCCATCAGAGAGCAGATTGGGCCATGACATGTCGTCGGGGAGAATGAAGCTGTTGCGGTATTCGTTGAGACGCCTTCCCAACATGGGGACATCCGAAGTTAGGAATACTGCCTTGTATCCGCAGGCTATTGTCCATTCCTTGCTATGAGTAGGATGACCTTGGAGGAACTTAGTAGTGGAGGCATGACTCACCCTCTGCCCTTTGCAGCATCTGAAGCGTCGTGTTTCGATCTTTCAACACAGAAAGCTGCATCACATACGGGTTGCCCTTCCCCACTGCTGCGACATTCTCAATTGATTCTGTCGCATACGAGGACAGACCCATGCAGACGCCTATATTGGCGGCAGCCCGAGATGTTGCAAGCTCGCCGTCTGGGTGTGCAAGTTTATGCATCGCCGCGGGGCCGATGGCCAAAGGCAAAGCTGTCTTGAACCCGAAAATCTCGCCGGATATATCGACATTGTCTACATTGACAAGAATACGAGGTTGAATCTTGAAGTAGTTGAACGCTTCTTCGTTTTCTCGCAAGCTAGAAGGTAGAATCAGCACAAGAAAACTAGCCATGTTCCACAGAAGCAACTTACGTGATTAAATCCATAGCACCCTCGTTATAGTAGTCTGCATTGCCCAATATAAATAACTGCATTGAAAACAGGCTCCTGAGTGTAGGTGTACTTGCCTCGGTACATCTTTGGTAGTCTTTTGCTTCCTTCTTCCTTCAAATCTTGAATGCTATGCACCAACGGGTCCCACGATATTCCTCTGTTTGCCATGATGAATATCTGGATGATTTGAGAAGAATCTTTGTCACTAATTTGATATCAAATCAAAAGAATCTGCCTGGCTCAGGAATGGCGGAGAAAAAAAGGCTTGGAGTGAGACAGATGTCGAAACTCCCACACGCTTAGACAAGACTCAATTAATAATAAAGCCATAAGTAATGAACAAATATCACGACAACAGGCAAGAAGTTTAAATCAATTTATCTGGATATAGCCCTAGAATCTTCCAAATATGATTCCCGTTGACGAGTTGGGTTGCTATAGGGCGACCAATTCCTACCAGGGCAGCTCGTGGATACCTTACCAAAACAGCCATCGACCCCCACCACCACCAGCTCATTTTAACTTCCACTAGCGAGGCAGACATCACTTTCTCCTTTGGTTGTCGAATGATAACACCTTGTAGTTCATTGGCCAGATGTGCCACACTTATTGACAAGGGGCGGCACATGAACGCTTCCATCCCTGGTGACTATTTAGTTCACAACTGATGAGAAACACTAGCTCGTTGATGATTTCCCGATACTGTTTCCTATCTTACGGGGCATGCTAGATCATTGTCCATCTGGTTGTACCGGTCACATTGCCTACCATCCATTGAGCGCCTTGGGCCAGTCCCAAGCCGACACATGGCTGTAGAACCTTGAGGAGACGCCACAGATTCCGAAGTATAGCGGATAACATGAGCCGTCTGGCCTAAAAGAAATACGAAGAGCGGGATGAGTGACCCAGAAGAAATGTCCAGTAAATGGCGATTGATAGGTATTTCTGCCTGCCGATCTTTTAAATCGATTACACGTCCGCCGCAAACATTGACTCCAAAGAAGAGTCACAAGGATATTCTGATACCCGATGTGACACATAGGTAGTAATTTATTCCTCATATCCATAAGCACTCACCGGAACTTTCTATGAAAGAGGATTAGTACATATATTTACTTCAACGTAGGGCAACAAACGACGGACTGATAATGATGCTATCACCTCTGTTCATATAGGCAGTATTCTCGCCACCTAATTGAACCCCGGCGAGTCTGCGGCCCGCAGATCTAAGTACCTTCTCTCAAAGGGCAATTTCCCAGGTGGAGATTATAAAACCCAAGATGCGTACCAGCGATCCAAATCATGCTGGCTACCTATGCGAAGGCAGCCCTAGTTAATCAGCTTGATGAGGCTAAGCCTTTCAAAGATCTTAAACAAGACCAACAGCTGAGATAGCTGAAGAAAATATCCATGGGAAAGCCTTGGATTTATTCAACCTTAGCCAGAATATTCTTGGCGTGTTCCTGAGGATGAGATCGATGCTGATTAGAGAGGTGAGCGTTCCACGTGCGCAAGGTCAGGTCATTATAGTAGTATCGCAAAGCTAGTATAGTTTGGATCTCTGGCATTTGTTAATCTTGATCTATGTAATTTCCATTGATTGAGATCGTACTCTTTGATGCAGTTCTAGATGAGACAGATGCTATTGAGACTGGCAGCGGATTGAGCCTTTAGGCCGCCGATGAGGCCACCAGTCAGGGGGAAGAGCGTACAAGGATAGTCAAGCCACTCTTTGATATTGGTGGAAACGGATATCGTCTCTAGAGGACGGCACATTTGCTCGAATTATCTTGTTGTGGTGTTTCGTAAGCAAGGCATCCATAGCACAGCCACGCTCAGATTGATCTACAGTGGAGAAGAGCCTTCGCTGGTAATTCTTAAATCCTGCATCCTACATCCTACATCTTCCATATCTCGGACATCGATTTGCCAATATATCGGGCATTTGTAGGCTTAATTCCTAACCTTGCACCGTGTTGTCCACTTTCTTTGAGCCGTCATAGATGAATCCACAGATGAATCCGCACAGCACGCTCTACGCCACTGTTTCAATCCCTCCTGCCTCCCGCTGTATACGCCTGTTGGACCTTGAAGTCCCGACAGACGATGCGAATGATTCAGGAGTCTCAGGCTCCTTGCATGGGCGCCTGAGGCTAGCGGATCTTGATGATAGTCCATCGTTTATTTCACTATCATATGTATGGGGCGATGAGACTTTTTCGGACTACTCCATTGTCTGTCAACCTGGAAATCATCGTCTGCAACTTACTCCGAACTGTTACGAAGGACTGCGACATGCCATCCAGCATAGCGACAGAGTATCCGTTTGGGTCGACTCGATATGTATCAATCAGAACGATTACCGAGAAAAACTTCACCAGATTCCGTTGATGAGAGATATATACAGCATGGCTGAATGCGTATATGTGTGGCTGGGCAATGGGGATGCAGCATCAGAACAAGCTCTGAAATTTCTGAAGAAGCAATCCCAGCTATCGGCCAGACTTCCGCTATCTGTTCTACGGTCAAAGACCAACAGTGAATACGTGGACTCCCTGCGGAAATATCGACAAGCTTCCTGGAGAGATATGGTCTGTGAGTTGGGCCCTCGCTCCCTGATGCTGCGTACTAGATTGAGAACGAATATCGCTAACAACATGATCTTCATTTAATTTTTTAGTTAGGTTCTCTTTATCACCTCTATGGACGAAAAAAGTTGACCTGGATGTGATTCTACGAAGCCAGTGGCTATTCCGGTGCTGGACTTTCCAAGAGTTTCTTTTGGCAAGAGATATGATTTTCTTCTGCGGAAACGAACATATTTCCTGGGAAGACTTATCTAGCGCTGTCTGTTTGGATCCTACGGACAGCTATCTGTTGAGATACCAGCCTATAAACAAGGATACTATGGATCATTGGCGCGCCCTCAGCAACCTGTGGTACAACTTGCCGCGAAGTGAGCTTGGATTGTACTCTTCGTGCTCAGATCGAAGCTCCGTTGGCTCTTTTCAAGCCGGTGTAAGCAAAGCACGGAGTCAGTCTGAATATAAGTTGACCCGTGGACTGTGGAACGCTCACGCATGTTCTAGCGTATTAATCGGAGCAGGTCTCGTGGCACTGTACTCTGCCTTGTGGAAGAGCGCAGACCGCATTCTGGGTCCGCTTGGAAGGTCTGTTCCCTGGATGTTTGTTAGCCTACTCTTTCTCAGTCTATCGATGAACATGATCATGTTATGGAGGCAGCTTATGCTTGGGCTCGAGCAAAAATGGACAGCAACAGAGAATACGGACAGGGAGATTCGTGCTCGGGTTATCGATGGGGTTCGATGGGCGTTGAAGAATCGTGATTGCTCGAACCCCCACGATAAATCTTTCTCTCTGCAAGGGGTTCTCAACATCTGTCAGGTTGTCCAGCGGACTCCAGACTACGCACGCCCCGTAGCTGACACATACCGCATACTGATGGAAGACCTAATATCCTGGGATGCTCAGTCACTAATCATGCTGCTTGATGCTGGGTCGCACATATCCTCAGCCCCTTCCTGGGTACCAAATTGGACTGGGAACGGTCCCAGTGAGTGGCTTGTGTCCCAATATCGAACTAGCATGGCACCGACTGCCGCATACCTTAGGCCACCGTCAGATATCCCAGTTGTCAACAACGGCATACTCCGACTGAAGGGGAAATCCATAGGCACGATCAAGTACCGCACAGACATGATGATGCCCACTAGCAGTCCGAAAGACCAGCAGCTCTCAGCACTGTTCCGACTCGCGCAATTTCTCGCCCACATAAACAACGAAAGCTTTCGGCCTTTATACCCTGATGACTTGACAGTAACATCGTTCGCTGTGCTAGAAGGGCTAATGCGGAAGGAAGGACCAAGATGGAAAGAAGGCAACGGCATGGTGCGAACCACAACGCGGTTGGCGGCATGGGAGGGGCCATATGACTTCCGCAAAGAGCGAAGTCAATTTTTGCGTCTACGTGCGTTACGAAATCTTATAATGAAAGCTCTGCCAAGTTTGAACTTGGAGTCAGAGGAGAGCTCAGAAACGGCGATTAATGCGTTGCTCCAGGAGGTTCTACGCAGCAACTACACAGGCGATTACTTCCTCCGTCTTATAGACATACTAACCACGCAGAAGAGGAGTCTGTACATTCTGTCATCTGGGCTTGCCGGCACAGGACCTCTCGGGGCTTCTGTGGGAGATGAGGTTTTTCTCCTCCCTGGGGTACCAGCTCCCATGGTATTAAGAAAGGCGGATAAAGCAGATAGTAAGACTGTGATTGGGGCAACTCTTGTTCACAGCATGATGCATGGTGAAAAGACCCTTGCCATTACCTACACGACGGTAGATCTATGTTGATAGTCTGCGGTCCTTCGCGGTGGTTAGGTGCTACTCCTAGGTACTCTTGGCTGATGGGGGAATATGTGATGAGAGGGGATGTCTAGTCGCCGCTCCGTCGTGATCTTATTCACTTTATTGTTGCTTCCGCGATGTTATTATTTAAGCTTCATCCTTAGCAATACACATGATATCGATGCTCGCAAACATGAACTGGCTACTCGATCTCAACCGAAATCACTCCTTACAATAAAGTTTCCTTTTCTGCACACTGTACTCGGAACAGTTGTCTCGATAGGGAAGGTCGTTTGTTGTCTTCCGATTGATAATCCTCTCTAAGCATGAAGACGGGTCAACGCGGCATTATTGCTGGAATGATGATTAACACAAATCCGCAAGCAGATAGGGAAAGATCGCCGCCAGCAGACCGAAACCTCTTCCACTAGAATAAAAAGAAGTATTTGCATTTATCTGTTTGTAGGGGAAGGACACTTGGCTCACTAAGTCTCGGATCCGAGCTTCGTACAGGATGGTATGATTGTCACCTCATTCATGGGTTTGGTACTTCCGTAACGAAATCATGGAAGGTCGCCTTGGCTGGTACAGTGACATTTGATGCAAGCCCGGAAAACACCCGATGCTGGATTTCGTCATTATAAGGTCTCGAGTGATATCGAGACGACCTTATGTCCCTACTCAACCGACCCACTGCTGGGGTACTTTTACCCAACTGCCGGCAAGGTTGCATTCTATCAGTGAGGGGGTGGGAGCTATTGGCTCGCTAAGTCCTAGAGTCTCTTCCTGAATCCATGGAGGATTGGACTTGCCTCGTAAAGGCATGGACAGGCTATAACAGCTCGACCGTCGGTTAATTCCTTTCACGGAAAGCGAGAATTTTATAAGAAGGTGGCAATGCCCGATCCTAGCGGGCACCTTTCGACCTCGTATTCAGACCGCATACTTTGAAGCATACATCTTATCTCCAGCTTGATTTGTTTTCGGTTTGCTGGAAAAAATGAAGTTCGCAAATTGCGTGAGCGTTTTGCTCTCCTTCGTTGGGTGCGCATTCGGCGCTGCCATCGCCCGTGATGAGACCGCAGCGGAGGATATCAGAGCCATTTATCTATTCAAGGATGTCATGGTGTCCGACACCGCGGCCCTTCAGACATCGGGCTTCAACACGGTCCTCATGTTTGGTGTCGGGTTCCTCGAGAACGGCGATATCATGTACTACTCCAACACGGCAGGAAGCTCGGATGTGCTCGTGGCCTCGAACGGCGCCTACGTCGGCGGCACCGCACTCGCGCAAAAGGTGCTTTCACTCAAGTCAGCGCCAGGGACGGGCATCAATCGAGTGGAGATTACCAGCAATTCTATCCACCTCAAGGAGCTGATGGCTAGCCCCGGTCCTGGGTCAGATACGAGGCTGTATCGAAACCTCGCTGCTCTGAAGCAGGCATGGAACCTGGACGGCTACAATAACAATGACGAGGCCATTTATGATCTGGCCAGCACCGTTACGTTTGCCAAGATGGTTGGGGAGATCGGACTACATTTCACAATTGTCCCGTACACTCGTTCAAGTTTCTGGGCGAGTGTCAAGTCACAGGTTGGCGATTTACTTGATAGGGTCTACCTGCAGTGCTATGACGGCGGTGCTGGCAATAACCCAGCGACTTGGGAGAGCGCTCTCGGTATCAAAATTGTCCCACTCATCTGGGTGACCAATGACTCGAAGCCAGTCTATGGCACAACGCCAGCGCAAGCCCGCAGCCGCTTCGCCGGCTGGGAGGCTCAGAGCAGCCTAGCTGGAGGCGGTTACTGGAATGACTATGATATCGAGAAGATGGGGCTGTCATATACTGAATATGGACAGGTCTTGAAAGATCTATTCCCTTAATTGGGTTGGAATTTGGTTATAGTTGCTAGATAGTGCCAGCTTTGACGAATCGGATGTTGGTTAGTTGATATTTGATTCTTCGACAATGCAAGATGGAGCTTCCATGAGGCTTACATTTGGCGTAATTTGTATGTCCAGTGACTTTGTCTCGAGGAATGACTTCCGGCAGTAAAATAATATGTGCACGTTGAAGGCCTTGCGACACACCAGTCCCAAGGCAGCATGTAGGCATCGGAAGATATTATGTGGACATGCTCACCGCCTCAATCTTCTCGGTGTTGGAGTATGTCACCGAGTATTTCCCCTCATCTGCTAAAACTTGGCACACCTAATGGGACTGGCAAAAGCCTTTAAGAATAAGTCACTGAGCCTTCCATACGTACACTTCAATGATGCCCGCTGATATAGCACTTCAAGGCGGAATGGTCGATTCTGTCATTTCTATGACCGCTTCTTTGCCATTACAGAGCTGAATAAAGTCGTCGGTCACTCTCCAAGTCAAACGTAGTTTATGACTGGCTTATGGTTCAAGGCCCCGTCACTGAGTAGTGAGTAGCGCCAACTGGGGCATGATACGGCAGTGTTTTCTCGGTGAGCGAGCCATGCAGGGGCAGCTGGAAATTCCCGGAGCATCGCATCAGGAATAGCCTACTTTCAAGAACTGATCCTCTCTCTCGTTTGGGTGCTAGACGTGAGGATCTATCAAATGATGAGAGGCGTCTACTTCCGGCAAGGTTCCCTACAATGCCCGCAGTTTCCCACCTTTCACGCTGGAGAAACCCCCAGGTATCAAGCAGCCGGGGAGCTTTTGGATCATATCTCATCATCCCCAATGCTGCGGCTGAGGGGCAAATGGCCCATCTTGCAGTCAGATAGTGTGCTACTCACAGCAATGTATGCTTACATTTAGGTCGATCACTTGAGTCTAGCCGTCAATAGGCCTTACCGGGGGTTCTTTATTGGTGAGACGATCTCAGCTTCCGCACAACAAGGTGATTCAAGGTGAGGGCCAGGCACTAGTGCTTTCGATAGTCTGCGCCACTATATTCAGCTGAGCATCCTTAACTGCACGCCAGTTGCTGAGGGTGGCAAGTACAAATCAAATGGCATCTAGAACAAGTGCTCTTAATGAATTCTGAATTGCGAGGACCAGATTATTTATAGAGAGACGAACGCCTGTCTGGCTCTTGGCAGACCGCCTTTCTTCTGTGCTGATTCTCAATTTAGTAGCCACTCGCGGCATGATAACTCCATCGTACCTAGAGAATTACTATCGGCTACATTCTTAAGAGATCCTTCGGGGAGATAGACACGAGAGATGGATGCCTCGCACGTTCCAACTGGCCCGCCTGGTGCCCCCATTCACCAGTCCATCTCGGTCAATAATGCCTACCCCCATCCTCATCTCCAACACACCCAGCAAGCGATACCAGGAATTGAGCGAAAGGCTTTGGCGAGAAAACAAGTAGGCAGCAGTCAGCAAACTCCTGGCGGAGGTTCCCAAACCCCTCGCCCAGCTTCTCTGATTACGCTGCCGTCCTCCCCAAACGGCAACTTATATTACCCTCAAGCTACTAGAGCTCTGGTCCCACAGCCTCTGTATTCATTCCCTTCTCCTCACCATATGCATGAGGTTCTAGGTGCATCAAGCCCCAACCAAAATCAGATCAGACCGCAAGCAACAGTGAGCCCTGCCGCACCTGGACTTATTCACCAACCGCTGCCTTCATCAGTGCCAACAGGCTTCCCCCGAAGCACCCAACGTCCACAGTCGGCAGTATCACGGCCTCCGTCCTTAGCCAGGGTCAACACCTTGCCAATTCGTACCCATCAGCAACCACAACGCCATTTACAACGAACGGCGACTGTATATACACCCTCCAATCAACATGTGAACCATTTGAGCTTCCAAACAACTGGACAGCCGCAATCTCCAGCGATGAGCAGCCCCACAGGCTCAACAACACCATTGACAGCCAACTCCATAACCGAAACTTCTGCTCCGGCAATCAAACAGGTGCATTCATCACCTATCACTGGCTTAGGCAGCGGTGTTATCTCTGGGCCAGTGACATGTAATAACTGCAAAACAGGTAAGACGCTAGTTCTCATGCTCTCTCATCTTTGCTTCTAACGACATAATGCAGGGATCCCGCCAAACGTCTCCGTCTATACCTGTCTTATTTGCAGCACAGGGCAGACCCCAACGCACTTCTGTGTCTGGTGCTACACATCTGGCTCAGCCGCCACATCTCACAGCCACGATAAAGCCTTTTTTGTCACAGACTCTGATCTGCTCATTCTGTTACCTGCCAATCCTGAGGTATCCGCAAATCTTTGGACAATACGGAGAAATGTATTCGGCACAATCTGGTACACGCACAAAGCTACAGGACAACGCACACACGTGAAGCCAAATCCAAGCGCGGTCATCCGGTCGGAAGGTCTGCCCGCCGGATGGGCTGAGCACAAGTCGCCGGAAGGACGTGTTTATTTCTTCAATGGCATGACAGGAGCCAGTCGGTGGGACAGGCCACCCGGCTCCCTTCCTAATGGTTGGAAAGAGATGCGGACACCAGACATGGTTCGATTTTATGTCAATGAAGCTCTGGGACTTTCCACTTGGGACCGCCCAGGAGAACCGCCGAAGCCCAATCAGTCGTCCGCGCAGTCTCCAGCTTCCAAATCCTCAAAGTCCAAGTCTGCGGCAGACAGTACCCGTGCGGTTGTAGCTCCAAAACCGGCTGGTGGTGGAATGTCCAAGATGTTTGGTAAATTGGGCAATGCGCGGAACATCATGAAGGTTGCCAAACTCGGTATGAAGCTTGCCGAAGGAGACTTTGAGGGAGCGGCAGAGGATGGCCTCGAAGGTGACGATGGTGGCGATGATGATGAGGAACTAGACGAGGAGCAGGACGAAGAGGAGGTTGAGACGGTTGAAGATGGGCCTGGTGAGGACGGAGTCGATGATTCTTTAAGCCAGCCAACCCAACCATTTCAACAATCAGTTTATCATGAGCAGTCCGTGGTCCAACAGCCTGTCTATGATCAGGCAGCTTATGAACAGCCCACTTATGAACAACAAGCCTACGGACAATCTCTGTATGGGCAACCCGTCGGGGAACAACCGCTCTACGGGCAGTCTGTATACGAGCAGCCTGTTTACGAGCAGCCCATGCCTCTGACTCAACAGTCCGGCTTTGAACACAGTGTTGGAATCTCCCAGGACCAGTCTGCTCTTCCTCCAGATCAAGAAGGCTACCCACCAGGAATCTTACAGCAAGATTTTCAGCAACAGCAACAAATTCTAGAACAGCAAATTGTATATGAGCAAACCACCACGTCTCTGCCGTTACATAGCGAACAGCAAATATTTTATGAGCAGGCCGATACTTGCCTGCAATCGTCCTACCAACAGCCGACAGTACCAATATCCAGCCCGCAAGCATATGACCAACCTTGTCTTCCTGAAGGCGAGCGACAAGTCTACCAGCCGCAGGAAGTTCTACCCCCAGTCTCGATTCCAGAGCAGACCGTTTTCATAGAACAACAACAACTTCCGTATCCTGAAGGCTTGACGACTGCTCCCCTCATAGAGCCTGCAATTATCACAAATGGGGATATGAGTCAACAAACGATAACGCCAGTGAACTTCCAAGGCCCTCTACCACAAGAGCCAATAGGCGCAACATGTGGTCCAAGTGAGGAGCCGGCTCTAGATCAATTCCTGGTGTACGCCAACCCGGGATCAGACATGAAAATGCCTTCAGTGTCTGTAACTTCACAGCCTGATCAACTGGCAACGATAGTGAGCATTCAAGACCTCCCTTCTATCTCAGTGACGCTTGAAGCTGATGTTAACTTGCAGGAGCCATCTGCTGAACTTTGCAATAACTCATCCTTGCAACCTCTCACACCAGAAGCAGTGACCATGAATGAAGCCGGACTGCCGGTAGGGGCTCATCCTATCTCGGTTACACCAACATGGATAGGGCTGTAAATAGTCATCGCGTACCTGATTGTCCAATTCCAGTTGTTCGGGCTTTTTAACAAGAAAGAATGTTCTCTTCATTTCATAATTCAGAGGTTATCAGCATAATATAATATCCTTTTTGTCCAAAGCCCACCATGTTCGTGTTCAATATCTTTTCCGCGATAGTTAGATGTTTTGAAACCACAAAAAAAATGTTTAAAAAAATATACAAGAGCCCGCTCATTATACACAGCCCAACCCAACAACGAGTTAGGACATCCCACCAACCCCAGGATCCCCGCCCACATAGCCATCGTAAGCCGTCGAGTCAAAGAACAGCGTCGTCCACGGCCCGCTGAGGTCCGCCCAGAGATTATCCAGCGATGCGACGTTGTCCCCGCCAAGCTGGCCCTGGACCTGCAGGTTGGCGAATTCGGAAACGGCGTTGCAGTCAGCCACGCCGCCGGGGTGTGCTAACCCGTCTGGCTCCGGAGGGAGGGGCCCAGCCTCCGTCCCGGTCGCGCCGCCAGTGAGGTCGTGGAGCTCGTGCAGGACCTCGAGGAAGCGCTGGCCGAGGGGGTCGCCGTCCACGCCGATGGGGAGCTCGCTCAGCGCGCGGTCTGCGATCTCTCTGATGTCGTACTTGCCGGGCCAGAAGTGTGTGTATAGGAGGAGGGTTCCGATGGATGCGAACTGGATGTAGTTGTTCATGAAGAATATTCGCGAGAACATGCCCTTTTGTAGGAGGAAGTGGCACTCGGAGATGACCATCTTTGCGGCGCTGATGGACTTGTCGTGGCACTTCTCAACCCACTGGTCCAGGCTTGGCTGGCGGATCGCGTTGGTCTCCAGGGAGTAGAGGATGAACGGCCGGTACAGCAACAAGCTCGTGTGGGCGTACATGGTCTTGATCGTGGCCAGTTGCCTCCTCATCAGCACCGACAATGCCGACTGCGGGATGAGAAAGAAGTCTAAATAGGGTGGGAGATTGGCCTTCCACTCGCACAGGTCATTCTCCAGCTCCATGGCTGATTTGTATAGTTTGGATATTGGTCTGAGGCGAGCTGCAGGACTATATAACTCTCGAAGAATCTTACCCAGAATCCGTGCGACGCGAGAGTAGTAAATGAGAGCTGCGGCGGCACAGAACTGGTCCTTTGGGGTGTGGATGATACCTGATACGGTGATGCCGTCGTCGTCGGCAAACTCGCACTCTTCCTGGTCAATGTCGTCGTCGTGGATGGCGCACGGTCGTCCAAACAGGCTGCTCAGCTGGCGGTCGTTGATGTACATGGTCCAGAAGATGCGCTTGCGGAAGACGTGGGCGATGTAGTCTGTTGGTGGGCCGATGGAGTGGCGATGAATCCCCAACGCTTGGGCGTGACGCACGAGGGTGCCAAACGTGGACCATGCCTGATGGAGTCTTGAGTGGTGGATGAGGAAGTGAATGGCTAAGAGTCTAGTTTGCAAAGTAGCGAGCGTGATGCGGCTAGGGTCTTTGTCGAGCTGCTTCATGCCCATTTCGAAGAAGCGGACGCTGAGTGAATGTTAGTTGATGTGATGCATGGTCGGTCAGCCTAGATTGCCAACAAACCTAGAGTTGTAGCCGCAGAATAAGTTCTCCAGCTTGGAGTAGTGTGAGCCCAAGGCAAACACCATGTAGAGAAGAGCGATCACGTCTGAGCCGAGTTCCTTGCGAGCATCAAGGTGCCCATAGAATGTCTCGTATATTTGCCTCATGCTGGGCTCATGAACAAAGCGCGTTGTTGTCAAGCCAAAATCAAAGTATGAGTGCATCAACTCATCTGCAATGGGCTTCGGCGGGAGGATCCAGTCAGATTCCTCAAGCTTCGGGAAGGGGGAGTCGACAAAGTAGATGGACATGGAGGGGATACTGGCCAGCTTCTGCTTGGTATATTGCAGATAGGCAAACTCAGATGTGCCGCCATGATAGTGGCCGAACTGGTCCTGTTGAACTGTGTCTTCGATGGTGCCTTCGTTCAGCAAGGGGCTGTCACCCTCTTCCTGCTGGCGGACTGAGACTTCGGTCGAGCCTCCTCGTGCTGTCTCAAGACTGCTCCGACCGACCTCGCCGGTCACGTCTACGGGTGGATCGGACGCCTTGGGCATATACTCGCACGTCTCGCCATACTTGCGGCACCGGATGCAGGGCATATGGCCGGAGCAGCGGGTCTTCTTGCTAACGGGTGGTTCGGCAATGAGAAAAAGAAGAAAACATACGCGATCGGTTCCCGCGGAGGGACGCGAAAGGAGACTTACTCTCGACAGGCATTACAGGCGCTCCGAACCTTGGGCAGGCGCCCGGTCGGCGTCCTGATCCTGGGATCCGGGATTCTCTTCGGCCTCCCCCGTGCCTGCTGGCCGTCGACCTGCCACGGGACAATGGTCAAGCCCAGGGGCGGCGTGGATCCCGCCATGTCGCGCGCCAGCTCAAGCGATGGCCAGGCTGGCTGAGGGGACACATGCAATCGTCGTCTTGCGATTCGCGGCGGCCGTTGAGGCGTCTCAAGATCAGTGCGTGGAGAAGTCGCGTGCTGGATGGAGCGCTACGAGCCACGAAGTCACTCTATTCTGCATTGGCGGTCACGAGGATGTCAGACCTTGCAGCACTTCCGCAGCTCGACCCCGCTTGTGGGACAATTTCCGGCTCATTCCGTTGGCTGACTCAAGTTGCTTGTGGGGATGAAGATCGGGGATGATGAAATAGGAGAAAGTTGGTGTGTCGAGACCGAGACTGCCAGCCTACCCTATGGCCTGGCACCACATGACGTGGTCAGCCCGCCTGCACACCCTCAGCGCAACTTTTTTTCAATAGTTTATTTGATGGAGGCGAGAATCTGACATTGTCGCACAAAACAAGGACTGGACCCTTGTGAGGAGAGAGCGCTGTTGCCTGCGGTTCGACGAAAGTACCAAAGGATGAATTGTCGGTGTTTGTCCCTGGTTCGCATGCGTGAGCCAGCACAGCAAGCACCCATTTATCCGGGGTCAAATTGCATGTTATAAGCAGGACACTTTCTTACTAGGAAGTCGATATGACTCAGAAGGGAAGCGATAAAGACAGGGATGCCCAATAGTGGTAGGGCAGAAAGCCGGGCTTTCCCAAGGAGGATTACGACCAAGATAAGATCAATGAGGCGCAAAATTGTCTCGCCCTACACGTGCCGTCAGCTGCAGCATTTCCAGCGCGTCTACACGGGCCTAGACGCTCGAGACAGGGCCTAGAGAGAGCCCATGCTGCCTAAAGGAGCCAGAGTGTGCAGGCGGATGGAGCCTCTGCTGATAGGTTTAGGCGTTATCATGCTGCTTAGAGGCGCAGCAATTTCCCGATCCTGCGAAAACGGTCTGAAATTGATTGGCTTATCGACTAATTTGCCAATATGGACCGGGCCACCGTTGGTTGGGTTGCATCGCCAAGGGCGCCGTCAGTCTAGTATTATCTCGCCGTCTTTGTCTCCTCGCCATGCCTTTCTTTCCCGATTATTTTGCTATCTCTATTCTTTTTGTTTAGTGATATATGAGCTTGTGTAACAGAAAAAAAAGGCTCTTGAATGATACTTTATTTATCTCCGTCACCTGGTCCAAGCAGCTGCTCCAACAGGATTCACCGACCTTACATGGTATAATTCGATACTGGCCTTCCAAGAAAGACAAAGCATCCAACCACCACATCTTTCTGCTCCACAATGAAGCTCTCAGCCAGCTTCCGCAAGTATCGAGAAGGGAAACGGCGCGAGAAGGAATTCAAAGCAGCGTTCCTTGAACCCAAAAGCCCGGTCAAGGTTCAGATCACCGAGATCCAGTCGAGAACCCCTTCCCCCGAGCAGAATCCCGGCCTCTTTTTCAACCTGCCTCCAACCTTGCGCCGGGACATTCTCATCCTAGCTTTTGGGGATAGGACCCTGCACATGCACTTGGACTATCAACACCCCTTCCACCTCCGGAAAGATATAGAGTTTCAAGACTCATTTGAGTACATCTATTTCTCTTCGGACCAGCATAATCAGTTCCATGGCAGAATACAGAACTTTAAATCTCAATTTGCTGGCAAGCGACATGATGTGGATCGACCGAAGGAGTGGCATTGGTTCGGTTGCGTGTGTCATCGCTCCCCACCAGCCGGCGAGTTTGGGATAGAGCAACTTTCATGTGGGAGAACAAGGAGCCGGCTGGACTATGGCAAGGAACTAGATGAAGACGGTTGCATGAATGGCGCCGGGGCCTGTGCGAACCACTCTGGCCAGTGGCCGCACAAGTGTCAGATCCAAATTATGGGATGGCTCTTGACTTGCCGTCAAGCGTGAGTGATGTGATGCGCCCTGGATGGAGACTTAACTCTTGATACTGACTGTTTCTTAGGTATATCGAAGGAATGGACGTTCTGTACAGGACAAATACGATCCACATATCCACCGCTCCTCTCCTCCGAGGCCTTCAAAATATCATGTCGGAGACAGTTCTGCAGCATCTCACTTCCCTCGAACTAGTATGGGATGCCGACCAAGTTCCGATTGCACATGGGTTCAAAGATCAAGCGAGATCCAGACCCCTATCGACGGTGAGACGGACACCCGTCTTTCCATATCTGATGTTTCTCCGGATTGCCTTCAAGGCAGTCGAACCAGCCAAGACCGATCCCGCCACTGGCCTTTTTTGGCCTTACAGAAGTGTGGATGAAGTGGAGAAGCGACTCAGAACTCGTCTTTTCCCGTCCATAGGCGATCTCTTGAACAGGATTGTGCCTTCGACTACCCATGTTACTCTTTCGTGCCCGGATTGGATGTGGTTCAAAGCCACATGTGATTCACTGAAAAGCAAGAATGCCGATGCCGGGACATTTCAGGTTGCTGAGATTGGGGGTGTCAAGGTCTGGTGGCCGATCGATTCTACATCTACAGCGTTGCAACGGCTACGAAGCCCCGACCCCTTGTTAGGGGATGATGGGACGGAGGCTCCCAGAGAAGGCTTTTGGGTGCATATCCCCGAACACAAGGTCGATCTCG